ACTAGCGGTATCCAGTTCGGCCAATGCGGGCTCCGCCCGCACGAAAGGCATCTTGAGCCAAAATGGCTACGGAGGAGGAGGCGGAGGAAGAGGAGGAGGCGGAGGAGGAGGAGGAGGAGGAGGAATCAGGAGGAGGAGGGAGGAGGGGGATGGAGGAAGGAGGAGGAGGGGTGGGGAGGAGGGAGGAGGGAGGAGGGAGGAGGAGGGAGGAGGGAGGAGGGAGGGGGGAGAAGGGGGGGAGGGAGGAAGGAATAGGAAAGGAGGAGGAGGAGGAGGAGGAGGAGGAGAAGGAGGGAGGGGTGCCCTGGGCAGCGGGGCAGGCCAGGCGCGCGCGGGGGGGCCGCCGCGCGCCCTCCGCCGCTGGCGTGTGGACTCAGCGCGCCAGGGCCGGGGGCACCGCAGAAGCGGTCGCGGCGGCGGCGCTGACACGGACCCCTGTACGCCAAGCTTTGCGTCGTGTCGACCCCAGCGTTGGTTCCTGACACCGCGGGGATCGTTCAACCTTGAGCGATCGGCGGCTCTCCGTTCGCCCGATCGTTCCATGCAGGTCGATTCTGGGCCACTGGCGGTGTTCAACCTTGAACGCCCGCGGCGGGGTCGCTGCCGGTCGACACGACGCGAACCTACTGTACGGCAGGTTTGCGTCGTGTCGACCCCAGCGTTGGTTCCTGACACCGCGGGGATCGTTCAAACTTGAACGACTGGCCTCTTCCGAAACGCCAGATCGTTCAACATCGACCGATTCTGGGTCGCCAGCAGCGTTCAACGTTGAACGAGGGCGGCGGGGTCGCCGCCGGTCGACACGACGCGAAGCTGCCGTGCGGCGGCGAGCCCCTGGGGGAAGCGAGAGCGGGCGGGCTGATGGCTCTGAGCGGCTGATGGCTGAGAATCTTCGATGCCGATGGCTCGAAGTGTCCTGAGGTCACTCTACTGCGTGTGTCTCGCCACGGTGGCGCAGCTTCCAGAGTGCATCCTGTGATTATGCTCGACGGCAAGCGAGGGGGGGAGTGAGAAGGGGCGGGCCTTCTCAGAAGGCTCTGAAGGCCCCTGGCCTTCTGCTGAGAAGTTTCCTACGCCGTCCCCGAAGACACAGCTCATAAGCCACGAGGGCTTCTGAAAAGTCCCGCCGCCTTCTGAGAATGCCTTGAAGGCCTTCTCCGTTTCACTTTCCCCCCTCGCTCGCCGCCGATTCGATTCATACGGCAGGCTCGTGTCGTGCCGACCTCGGCGTTGGCTTCTGACACCGACTGGGACGTTCAGCCTTGGGCGATCTGCGGCTTGAGGTTCGCCAGAGCGTGCCTGCTCGTAATGTCGTGGACTCCGTGCATGTCGCTGTGGCGCCATCGAAAAACATGGGAATAACACTTGAGCGGGCCCCGTGCACTGACCCTGTGATGGAGGACTGTCGCGCCCTTGACCGTTCGATGTGAGGCACTGGAGACGCACGCGCGTCAACCATCGCCGTTCGCACTGCATGCGACTAGTGTTCGAAAACGCGCAGCACATCATAGCATTCGATACCTGTTCCCTGTGGATCTGGACGGCGCCCCAATGCCCCCCCGCAGCGACGCGAGGCGGCGCGCAAAGCAAAAGATAGTGTAGCGAAGCGTGCTCCCTGAGCATGCTCGTCGGGACTTGCGACTCGTGTAGCCCTCGCTGGGTTTGGCACGCATCGCCTCTTGGGGGTGCCGAAACGATGCGGTAACAGACCGTGCAGTGGCGTCGGAATCCCCGAAGACCTCACTGCACAGTCCGCCGCCGCACCGTTCTGTAACGGGGAGGCCCGAATCGCCCGAGACGTTCTCGGAGAACGACCCAGGTCCCAACACCGTGCGGTCACCCCGAATCCCCACTGACTCACCACACGGTGTGGTCCCCGCACCGTTTGGGGGATCCCGAAGCCTCGGTCACGCTGAGGTGCTCGCCAGGACGAACGGGCACTGGTCAGGGCAGTCAGGGCCAAGGCTGCGAGCACATCACGAGGTGGCAGGCCTGATGCAAGATAGCCAACAGAGGGCTCCTGCACCATACCTATCGCCACGGCTCTGTGAGGTCAGCGAGATGGCGAGGCGCCTGAGTGTTCTCTGGAGGGAAGCTGATTGCGACGCCTGGGCCTAGGCCGTACCACTGCTGTCGGGGCACGATTTCTCTGGCGAGACTGTGTACGGCAAGCGCCAATTCACATTGCGATGACCTTGGCTTTGGATTCTGACATTCGTTCGATTCTGGCCCTCTGAAAATCCGCCGACCCTGTCGGCGTGTGCGAGGGGCTTGGCTGTTCGAGTCGTCGTCTCCGTCGGTCGTCGCCTCCGTCGTCCCCTTTCCCTGCAGCTTCCTTCTCAAGCTCGTGAGCGAGAGAAAAATCTAGCAGTGTCGTAATCGAGTCGAAGGGAAGCCCCTTCCCTTTGATCCCTTCCCCAGGGGGGGGGGGGTCCCGGGGGGGGGTGGGGGGGCAGATTCGTTTTTCCTCGGGCGGCCTAGAAACCTCGAAAACACTCCAAATGAGGTCCGAATGCCCAAGATGGCCCCCGAGACGGCCCAAGAGGGCCCCGAGTCGCCCAAAGATCGGCCGAAAACGCCCAAGATAGCCCCAAGACCGTCCAAGAAGCCTCCAAGACGTCCCAGGCCCCCTCCAAGAGACCCCCAGGAAGCCCCAAGAGGCCCCCACGAGGCTTCCAAGCGGCCCCTCAGAGCTTCCCAAGAGGCCCACAAACTACCCCCAAGAGGCCCCCAAGAGCGCTCGTCGTCGTCGTCGTCGTCGCCATTCAGGGTCGGCGGCACCGGCTGTAAGGCCTTCGCAATACACATCGATCAATGTTGGACGAGTTCGGGCCTCTGGGGCGGGCGTTCAGCCTTGAGCGACCGCGGTGGAGAAGTCGCCGCGTCAACGTGGCACGGACGTGCTACAACCAGCTGAGAGGCACCTGCGAGTGCCAGAATGACTCCAGCGGCCGTTCGAGGCGACCCAGACACCCCCAGAACGTGCTCGACGAGGCGCAGCCGCCGAGAATGATAAGGAGGAAAAGTAGCCCTAATCATTCGGGAGGGGACCTGAGTTCGGAGGGCCAGCAACAACATCAGGGGTAGAGGGGTCTTTGCTGCAGTTGTGTCAGACGAAGCCATCCCTGTGGTTAGGGATATCTCTAAAAACCGTGGATCCGAGTTAGGCCACGAACCCATTGTGCTATGAGGGTCGGGGGCTGTATTACCAATCGGTCGGAAGAAGTAGGTAGAAACATGAAGTAGGAAGGCGTTGAAAGTAGATTGGGTGTCCGCCCGCCCTCTAAAGAGGACGGGACAGGTGAAGCCACTCGACCATTGAAGCAGGAAGGCGCTTAAAATAAATTGGAATATGGGACTCCAAAGCTACCTACTTTCAACGACCGATGGGCACTGTGGAGGCCAGTCCACAAGAAGCCTTCCACACGAAACCCAACCCTGAGACTCCAGGACGTCCACAGATTTGCGGCGCGGAGAGGTCGCGCTTTCCACAGCAGAACCATCGAAAACAGAAAAACCCAGGGCACCCTGGAGGCAAGCAGCGTGTTTCTTGGCATGGTCCTCCACTGTATGCCCAACGAGAGCAGGACCCCGAGGCTGGGACAACGCTCGGGGCGCCGCCCAGAGCGCCCGCAGATCTCCAGGGGGGCACCTCGCACGGGCCCGCTGCGGACCGCGCGCCGCGCGAGGCGGGCGCACGCTTGGCGACCGGCATGCTGGCCGCACACCCCCAGCTCGCGCACGGCTCCGTCAGACGCCACGGGGAGCCAGGGCGGGGACGCGGATGTGTTCCTGGCTTCCGAGGCCGCGTGCTTTTCGGCCATGTCTGTTTATGGTGCTCCCATCGGACTCGAAGACCAGCTCCCAGAAATGGCTCCGAGCACCTGGAAAGGTGTTCTCGGAACAGCGTCGAGCGAGTCTCGCCTCACAGGGCCCGAGGCGTGAATACCCCATCTTCTTGGCGCTTGAAATTCTTGAAGAATTTCGCTCAGAGTGCTTGCTGAGGCCTTCACTCATTCTTTTTGGTGATCAAGGCCAAACTAGGTTGGAACACCATCAGACGTGGGTGCGTTCCCGGCCTCCGAGGCCGCGTGCTTTTTGGCCATGCTCCGCTTCCCTGGGCGCCCAGACTGGTGGGCAGCGGCAGATCGTCCATCGTCGATGGTCGATCTCGTGCGGACCCATGACCTCGTGGATCGAGCGGGATCGACGGCCGTGTGGAACGACGACCGTATGGATCGCCGATCGTACGGATCGACAACCGTATGGATCGAGCGAGATCGACGACCAGACTCATCGACCACGGCACTGATCGACGACCGTATGGATCTTCGACAGTATCAGAGTGTACAGTCGGGCCGCTGCAGAAGGAGCCCTTTTCGTTGGTTAGGGGCCGAATTTTCCTGAATCGTTTCACGGCTTTTTTTGTGCAATAGCGAAGTCTCACTTACGGAAAAGGAAAGCCTCGCTTCTGATCTAGGGCTCCTTATGACAGCGGTTCGACTGTAGGGCAACAACAGGTCGACGACCGCTTGGATAGAGGCCTCCTAGATGGGGTCCAAGTAGATGGGGTCGAAGGATCGCGCCGCATCGCCGACGCTTCACCTATACATCGACGATGCATCGACGATGCATCGTCGACGTCGGCGATGCATCGGCGACGTCATCATGAAGCAAATCGGGCTCCGCATCGAGCCCCAGCGGCGATGTATCGGCGATGCGGCGCGATCCTCCAACCCCATCTTCTCCGACCCCAATTGGGAGGCCTAGACCATGACAGCGCTTCGACTGTAGGGCAACAGCAGGTCGTCTACCGCGAGGAGCGGGCGCGTCGATCGTCGATCGAGGAGGAGGAGGAGGAGGAGGAGGAGGAGGAGGAGGAGGAGGAGGAGAGGGAGGAGGAGAAGAATGAGGAGGAGGAGGAGGAGGAGGAGGGGGAGGAGGAGAACGAGGAGGAGGAGGAGGAGGCGGAGGAGGAGGGGGAGGAGGAGGAGGGCCGCCTCGAGCTGACGCGGGGCAGGTCTCGGTCGAACGTGCCCCTCGACACGGCCGCCTGCGGAGAGCGGCCGCCCGGCGCCGTGCCCAGCCGCAAAGCCCCCCCGGGCGCCCGAGCGGCCGGGCTGGCAGGGGAGCGAGGGGAGCGACGAGCAATGCCCTCGATCTTCAGAAGGAGGAGGAGGAGGAGGAGGAGGAGGAAGGAGGGAGGAGGAGGAGGAGGAGGAGGAGGAGTAGGAGGAGGAGGAGGGAGGAGGAGGGAGGAGGAGGAGGGGAGAGCGAGGATCAAATCGGGTACGGAGAAATCGAAAACCTCTGATTACACTCGGCACGCTCTTCTTGAACCGAGAACGCAAGTCTTCGAAGGAAAAATGCCTCTTCGAGTGACAACCACGCATCAATCAAGCTTGTTATCCGCCACCCATAACATGCTGACAACGGGCGAAACTGAATGACTTAATCGCAGGAACCGCAGGGTATATTTCAACAAAGAACACAAATCGGCCAACCCTTCGTCGTGTTCGTTGTCGTCGTCTGGGCCATCTTGGGGCGATCTCCGGGGCCTCTTGGGCCGTCTTTGACGCTGCTAAAACCAAGAAACGAATATGCTAAACACATACTGTTTGCTGAAGGAATGGTACGGTCTTCGCCTCTTGGGGCCGTCTTGTGGGTCCTCTTGAAGCCGTCTTGGAGCGTCTTGGCGGCCTCTTGGGCCATTAGGAAGCCATCTTGGGCCGTCTTGAACTCCCTTGGAACTTATCTGGAAACTCTCGCGGGGCCTGGGGGGGCTCCGCAGAAGCTCTGGGGAGGCTCAGGGGAGGCTCTGGGAGGGGAGTGGGCCCTTAGATGACTCTGGCTGACCTTGGTGCGCTGCAGCCCCAAGGTCCGGGACTGGGTTTCCCGGAATAAGGACAACTAGAACCACGCCCGCGCTGCGCGCGCTTTGGTTCTAGCATGCTGTGGCGACGGTCTAGGGTTTGCAGCATCGGAGCGCAGAAAGGATTCGATCAATCCTGATCAATCAGCAAATGGTACCCTCCCTGTATGTCCCCACGGATGCATGCCGTGAGCCTCAATCGACCTGAACCCTGTATCCTCCTCTCAACAAGCCCTCTCACTCCCTCTCCTTTCCGCCCCCCGTTTGGCCGACCAATGGAAGCAAATTCCACGTGGCAGAAGGAGCTGTTGCGGGCGCGGTGGACGTGTTCCACTCGGCATGCAACGCGGCAAATCATATTCGATGTCAACGCGGTTGACGTGTTCTTCTCGGTTTGCAACAATGACACATACAGCCGGCTGCAAGTCAAACAATGATTCCGCATGATCCCACTACAGCTGGCTACACTTCCTTTAAAATCCAGAGGGGCGCCTCGAGAAACGAATGCACAAGCGCACAGCAGCAGCTCGTGTGTCCGACGGGCGGCCAAAAGCAGCCAAGATCTGGTCTTCGGGGAGGGGGGGAGGCGGGGGCCCGCGCCGATCGGCGAAACAAGACATAAAAAACAGCTACCTCTCAAGACTTTTGACGGCTCAATGGGGCCTGAATTCGGCACACCTCTCACACACTCTACGCCTATCCAAGGCCTAGACGACCCAGAGCGTCCAAGGCCCACCTGGAGCAAAGTGGAGCAAACCAAATGCCAATACCGGGACTGCCCAATGTCTGCGCACGAACCTTCCCAAGGCCTACCCCAGGCCATCCCCAGGTCAGCCCGACGGCCTATCTAATGCCTGCTCCAGGCCTACCTGGTGGCCTTTCGGGAGCTCATATACGGCCTAACAGAAACCAAGTTGAGGCCCGCCCACGGCCCAGCCAAGGATTATCAAAGGTCTCTCCAACACCCACCCAATTCCAGCGTATAGCCAAGCACATGCGAGCACCAGAACGAACGAAAGTGAACACCCGAATGACCGTGCCCGCGCTCGTGGTAAACCCGCCACAGAAATTTGACAACGATGGGCTGTCATGGCAGGTTCGACGGTGCGCCCACCGTCGCCGCGCAACCGCCGCACAAAATTTGACAACGCTTGGCTGCCCTCAAAGGTTGAACGGTGCGCGCCAAACAAAATCGGCAACAAAATCTCAGATCCGTCAGCCACCCCGGTCCCGCGGCGACTTCTGGGACCAACGAAAAAAGCTGGAGGTCACAACGCATTGGGGACACGCAAACACACCAACACAGAATGGACGGAGAACATCATTTGGAGAAACATAGAACGGAGGGGGAACAGGAAAGAGGATGGGTGGATGACGGAACAGGAGCGGAGGGACAGACGGAGGAGGAGACCGAGGGTGATGGACAAATGGCGGGCATGTTTGGAGGGAGGGGAGAATGCGAGGGTGAGGGGAGGGCGAGAAGAGAAGGGATGATAGCAGGACTGACTGGCGCACGTTCCTGTCGTTTCCTGCCAAATTCGTGCGTGCAGCAAACGTCTCGCATTGGCCAGGCTGTCTCCCCATCATCCTGCTCCCCTATCACCCTATCGGATTGCCGCGCATTCGCCTGCGGCCCTCGACCTCCCGTCGCTGTATCGGCCCTGCCCTTTTCATTCCCTCCTGCCCACCTTCCTGCACACCCCCTCCACCTCCGCCCCGGCCCTTGTGCGCCCTGGCCACCCGCCGTCGCTTGGCAGCGCGCAAAAGGAACTCGGGAAACGGGGGAAGGCTTCTTAGAAGGACGCCGCGCCGCTTCTTAGAAGGCGCCGGCCCTACATCTACAGACAAGGCCCGCACCGTCTGCGAAGCACGGGTGCTTTTCAAAAGCCTTGCCGTCTCCTCCAACCCCTTTCTGCGCGCGGCTGTCGTCGCCCGCGCAACCTGTCGCTGGCGCCCTCCTCCCGATATGCGGCGCTAGGAGGAGGCGACGCCGAGCCTTCCACACCAGCCAGCGAAACCGCTGGGGCACTCCCCGCCGCACGCGCCTCCGGAATCTGTCCGGATGGACGTCCATGTACCTCAGAGGGGGACAAATAGTGCAAGGCGGGGAAAGAGGACGACGACGACGACGACGGCGACGACTCGTTCTTGCGCGTGGTCTGTGCCGAACCCTGCTCGCGCATGCAGACGTGCCAACAGAAACGCGCCTCCAACGATCATCGAGCGAATGCGATGAGGTCGTGAGGAGCGCGCACCGCGCAGCCTGACGCACCTGCGGCAGTCGCACTCATACCACGGCAGCTCGCTGAGCAGCGCCAGGGACAGCTGCCGCCGCCCCTGCTCTGTCCGAAGGGCCGGCGGCGCCGGCCAGCGCCAAGCCGGGCGGCTCGCCCGGCACCGCCACCGCCGCGGCGGCGGCGGTCGCCGCGCGGGAGATGGCGACCGCCGCAGCCCACAGGCCAGCGGCAGCCGCCGCCTCCACGACGGCGGCAGCGCGACCGGGCCGCGCCGCCCAGGCCGCGCCGGCCGCGCGCCCATGAGCCAGAAAGGCTTGAGCCAGGGGGGCCTGAGCCAGAGGCTTGAGCCAAATGCCACGGGTTGAACGCGCCGGGCGCGATGTGCAAATGTGAAAGGCCCAAAAAAGGTTTCGCCTCTGCGACGCCGCCAGCTCGGCGCACCGTCAGCCGGCTGCGCGCGCAGCCGCGATGATGAATGCGAGGGCTGGCACGACGGGGCGCGCCCACTCCGACACCGCCGAATCCCTGAGCTGCCGAGCGAGCGCCATCTTGAATAGAAGTGAGATTGCATGCTGCGCGCCCCGCGCTCGCAGGGCCCCGTGGACTTCATGGAGCTCGTCTGCTGCTTCGTCTGCTAAATCGCCAAGCTGAGCCCTTGCTCCGGATGGCGCGGCGGCGCCTCCTGCTGCGTCACACTGCGCCTCGTGATTACTGATCAGCTCGTCGAGGTTCATGGCCCCCTCGCCGCCCCCCCTCGCGCCGTCGAGCGCAAAGACGCGACATAATGGGGTCTCCCAGCGCTCGGCGGGAACGAATATGAAGTCGCATTTCCAGTTGCTCTTGAGCCGCAAAGCTGCATTCTGGGCAACCCAATGAAAATGACCGAGCCGCCCCCTTCGGCCGATTGCGCATCGGTCGCAAGCATGCGATCGCATCGCATGTTGATGTCTGTTTCCTGAGTAGTGAGAACCTGGGATCATCTGAGACACGAGTGGGTGACCGCGAAAAGAGCGGCCTCGTCTCGGACTTTTCAAACTCCGCCTGCACACAAGACAAGAACCTTCACGCCGGTGGAAGTGTCGCGGCGCATATTTCCGTCCGACCCTCGCAACCTGCATCTACGAACGCCTCGATTGCCATCTTCCTCCGCCCCCCGCCCCATCCGCCCCAAGAGTGGCGGGGGCCATCGAGGGCCCCGTCGGTGGGGCGATTGCTTTAGAAAAATAGCTGGCCCTAATAACGCCAGGGTCGATCACCGCACACCCATCGCAATCGGTCGCGTGGAATAGACCCAAGAAGGGGAAGACCTAGGGAATTAGAACGGCGAGCCCCTCCGACAGGGCCCATGGGTTGGCCTTGGGGCCGCTAATCCAATCCTCGCTCACGCCCGCGATCCAACTCAGGCCGCCCAGGATGCCCGTGCTCAATCGAATCCAGGGCGGGCGCCGTCAAAGACAACGGAACCGAAAATTGTCGGCAATCGGAAGAATCTGCCAGTCGCCCCAGACCCTTCGAGCACTCCAGCGCCGCAAACCCCGACGCGACCCCCGACCCCCTGGCCCCGAGCACCCTTCATCGCACTCCTCTGCGCAGTTACGGCCAGGGGCCCTGCGCCCCATGCCCGACAGGGGGGCGCCCTGCACGAAAGAAAGACCGGCCATGCCACCCACGCCTCGCGACGCCTCGCACGCGAGGAAATGGAACTCACTGCCGAGACCAGTCCGACCTGATTGCGCCCCCCCTGCCCCAATCTGGATCGACCCATGCGCCATCAGCCAGCCGCCAGGGGCGCGGGCGAATCTGCCATGCTGCCCCGATAGACGCAATCCGCCCACACGCAGAGGTCGACGCTGCGACGCGCTGCCCTTCCCAAAAAAACAACGCCAAGGCAACCAGCTCGACCTCGTCAAGCCCCGCCCCGACGCCGCCCCAAGGGGCCGCCAGCTCTCTGCTGCGAGCTCGGGCAAGCGCCGCCAAATGCCGCGCGCCCCCGCCCCGCCCAAGGCTCGAGGCGCGCACGGGGACAATGCTATTTTCATAACATAACCTGTGAAGAGTGCAGACCCCGCGACAACGCGGGCGCCGTCGATCTCCCGAGCTCGCGAGCAAGTGCACAAGCTCGCCCGGGCCCGCCATCTCAAAAACGACTCCGACCCCTTCACATAGACGCGCGGGGGGCCTCGCGCAGGGCCCGCCCCCCCGCCCCCACCCGCAGAAGCGGGCCTCTGGGAGAGAGGGCCCCCAGAGGTCATGACCTGCATCGCCGCCGGCGTCGCGCGGGCGCGCTTGAATCGAATGTCTCTGGGCAGTTGGAAGCCTCCAGTTTTGCGACGGCTTAGGCGTCGGCAGCGCCGCCCCTTGCAATGGCGCGCGAGAGGCCCAGCTTCTGGCGCCCCCAAAACGCGCGAGCCTGGGCCGCGATGGCGTTTCCGCGCCGTCGGCGCTGAGCAACGCCGCGGCAGCGATAAGGGGGCGCCCCCCCGACGCCGGCGAGGTCGGTCCTAAGGGGCGCGCGCCCTACGACTTGCCCATGGGGCACAACAGAACAATCCACCACTGGCCTACCAAACCCAGCGCGCCGACCCGCTTGTCCGAGCCGACGTCGAGCGAGACGCCGGAGATCAGCGGGGCCCGCCGGAAAGAGGCGGGCACGCCCAGCAGCCGCCCTTGGAAATCTTGCGAGGTCGAAGGCGGGAGGCACGCCAATCCACCGCGCTTGAACTTCTCCCGCTTGGCGGAATCTATCGAGGCCGGCCGCGTTCCAGGCGGCGCGCCCCCTCCTGGCGCGGCCCCCCTCTTCGGCGCGGGGCGGAGCGCGCGGGAGATCCCGTGGAAGTTTTGCTCCGCCACATCGAAGTCGACCACGTGCGCGCACCGCTGCTGGTCCGCCCTGAGGGCCTCGTCGCCGGCGAACTCCCGTTCAAACAAATCTCCCAGCTCCCGCTGGCGGTTGCGCCCCGCCGCGGAGAAGCCGCCCTGCCGCGCAGGCATCCGCGGGAAGTCGGCGACGTCCTGGGTCTCCCAGATCCCCCCCCCGAGCCTCGACGTACTCCAGATGGCGCGGACCGCGGCCCTTGCAGCCATGTCTCCGCATCAACGCCTGCGCCGCGAATCGATCGCGCTCGGCCCGCGCCGAGCTCGGCCCCCAGACCGGCGCCGCAGCGCGGCCCCCGGTGATCAACCGAGAGGGCTGTCGCAAACGAGCGACGACACGGGAGAGCTCCGACTTCCCGCCCGCGCGCTGTGCCGCCCCGCGCCCGACGCGGCGCTCGCGCCATCCGCCGTCAGAAAAGAGTCGCGGACCGCCGACTTTCGAGAGCCGCCTGCTCGATCTCAGCTGGCGAAGGTTTCTGGAACTCCGCCACGTCTGCCTTCCCCCAACGAAACCTGGCCATCGCTCGGACGTCCATTCCCTATGTTCTTTTCTGTTTCGTGGGTGGCTTTTTCGCCAAATGATCAAGGATGCTCCTCAATGGTCCTCGCCGAAGGAAACATGCACACGTCCGAGCGATGCCAAAAAACTGAAATCCGCAGGAGCTGAGATGGCAGCCCCCCGGGCACGTTCAGCCGCCGCCCCGCGCGCGCCCACGCCACGGAGCATGCGCATGAGCCCAGCGAGGTTCCAGCTCTGGCGCGCCGCCGTCGCGGCCTCGCAGACGCAGCAGCACACCCTGAAAACAAATCGCATGGCCCCTGTCGTCGAGTGAGCTCACCAGTTGCAGCCGACGCCCCGCAGGTCGAAGCACCCTGCAGCAAGGCACGCAGGGGCTGAGGCCGAGGGGCGCGCGCAAGAAATCAACCCTCGACGCGCGCCCCTGGACTAGGGGAACAAAAAATGGCATAAACATAACAAATCCCAGTCCGCGCGGATTTCTCGGATCGGCGCTGGGGTCCTCCGGTGGAGTTTCCGGCGCCGCCCCTGGCGCGCTCCGCGCGCCAGGGAGGGGGGTCCAGCGCCGATCCGAGAAATCCCCGCGGACCTCCGAGTTTCTATGTTTATGCCACCTTTTGTTCCCCTGTGAACCCTGTGGGACGTCGAACCCGCGGGGAAGAATCGGGGAGACGTAAGACCCGGGTACGGGGGACTCGGGTTGGCCCGACGAGGTCGTAAAAAAAAAAAAGACGAGGCCGAGCCTGAATTTTGACGAGGCCTCCCGCTGCAGACATCCCACGAAACTCCTCCTCGTCAAAATCCGAGGCGCGGTCGTCCAAAAACGATGGCGAACCCGAGTCCCGGCAAACCCGGGTCTTACGCTCCCCCGAAAGAAGGCGCTGACCCCGAAGAGGGCGGCATCCCGCCAGACCCGGCGCCGCGGCTTCTCCGCCAGGCCCTCGAGCTCCGCCCGCAGGGCCCGGCGTGGCTGCCGCCGAGGTCCCAGCCCCAGCCAGGCCAGCCAAACGCGCGGCGCTGCGCAGGCGGCTAGAGGCGCGGCCAGGGCCGCCGACTAGGCCAATGCGGCGCAGCCCAGGGGTAGGGCTGCCTGTTGCACCCCCTCCCCTCTCCTCCTCCCCCTCCCTGCAACCTTCGTTGTCGCCACGGGGCTCGCTTGCGCTGGTAAAAAAAATGTGCCTCTGGGCCCGAGGCCGCCGCTGCCGCTGCATCCCCGTCGACCGCGTCGTCCGACGAGTAACCCAAATAGTCGCTCATCGTCGATCCCGATAACATGAGCGCACCTGCTGCCGACGCCATTGAGGCCCCTGGCCCGTCTGGCGGTGAAGGGGGCGTCCGCCGCTCGGGGGGGGGCAACGTCGAGAAGTAGAGCAACAAGAAGAGGACGTCCGAGCGTTGGAATGAAAGGCGTATTACCCCGGCCCGTCCACGCAGATGCGGCGGACGGTAGAATACATCACGGATAAAGTCGCGTGGAAAGCGCTTCTGATGGTGGAAGATCGACACACCACAGCCACAGCATTTGTGAGATGCACGCGTCCACCCAGAGCTGACTTTCCAGTGGTGACGGTGAATGAACGAAGAGTGTGCGTCTTCGGCGTGCCAGGTAGCATGCTGGCCCCAATGATCTGGAATGCAGTCGAGACCTCTGCAACTCTGGTCGCCCCCGATTGTGGACAGGGGTCCCGCTGGAGAAACTCTTGCCAACGTCGGTTTGAGGGCAGGCCCCCATCCATCTCCCCGGCGTCAAACACGCCCAGAAGCCGGAAAGTGACGAAGGCGCACACGGCGAGAAGCCCGCGCCTCGCGCGGGGGCCCGTCTTCTGTCTCTCTCTCTCTCTCTCTCTGTCTATCTCTATCTCTTTTTTTCTCTCTCTCTCTCTCTCTCTCTCTCTCTCTCTCTCTATATATATATATATGTCTCTCTGTCTCTCTCTCTCTCTCTCTCCCTCCCTCCCTCCCTCCCTCTCTCTCTCTATTGCACGGGCACGGCGAGTCCCCCGAAGGGAAAGGAGACGTGCCGCTAAACGCCTGACTGTGCAAGGGTGAGTAAGAAGGAGCCGCGGTACGGGCAGTGTGCCAGGAGCCGATGAGGCGGCTGGAGAAGAGGAGAGGGGGAGAGGGGCATCGACAATGAGGGAAGGAGGGATGAGGATGCTGAGGAGGGAGGGGGGGAGGGGCAACCCAAGATGAGGAGGGGAGGGACGAGGGAGGATGGGGGAAGGTAACAGCGAAGAACGCCACTGGGAACATGTGATTGCAAACCCAGGATAAAGCAGCCAGCTCACATTCATTGAAATGCATAGCGACACGTGCGCACGCCTGTTCACGCCTACGGGCAGGCCCACGTTCGAAGAATCATAAAAAGAAGAAGCACAAAGTAGGGAGGGGAGGGATAATTAGAAGCAGTGGCGGACGACAACGACGATTACTATCCCCCTCACCCCCTGATGAGCCTCGCGCATCCTTCCAGGATGATGCCGACAACCGCGGCACCGTTGACGCCGACGATCGTTTATTACTCTGGCGGCTGTGGCACTGAGGCACCACAGATCCTGATCAACACAAATTTCTACAAGGGCTCCCAACTTCGCGCTTCGCGCTCCGCGAAGCCCGAAGCGCGAATAACTTCGCGCTCTCGCGCCGCCCCCCAAAGGGAGAACAGGAGGACGAGGAGGAGGGGGAGAAGGATCGAGGACCGCGAAGCGCGAAGCGCGAATAACTTTGCGCCCTCGAGGGAGCCCTTGAGGCTCCCCCCCCATCTTCACACCCGCTGCCCCTGCCCCCCCCCTGCTCTTGCCCATCCTGCTTCTGCTAGCGCTGCTGCCGCCGACAGCGACCTCCACCTCTCTCCCGATTCCGTTCCCCGCTATTCTTTCCATCCTGTATTGTGCCCCCCGCTTCGCTGCCAACAGATTGGGCCTGCGTTTTTTCTGGTAGATTGCAGTTTCCATGTGGGAAGACAGTCCTGAGAGACACAGGATATTGAACTTCTGGTATAGCCCAGGACTCTGAATTCGCCCCGTGCATTCTGCCTGGGGTGGGTCCCAGGTTCACCCTGTATCATCTTTTGACTGTCCCAGGAACTGGGGGGGGGGCCTCGGGAAGCCGAAACCGTGGAAACGACTTCCGCACTCCAAATCCCTCATTAATCGCCCACCAGGTCCGGTATTTTAAGGCGCCTTTTTTGTAACTGAGGGGGGTCTGGTTTATTAGGGCGCTTTCTTTGGATTGGAGCTTAGGGGGTCTGGTTTATTGAGGCTCCCCGTCGAAGAGGGGGGTCCAGAATTTTAGGTTGCATTTGGAGGGGGTCCGGCTCTTTTGGGGGGGGCGATTAGTAAGGGATTTGGAGTAGGGCCTGTCCCCTACAGGGGGTTCTTGAGCGAAAAATGAAGATAGTCAGAAAGTATTGAAAAATCAGACAAAATAGTATAACAATCGTCCCCTGACCATTTTTTACCATTTTTGAATATTTTCCCCCTGTAGAGGGACATGCCCGATCTAAGTATAGTCGACGACGCGCCGAGGGAGGGAAGAGAGAGGGGGCGAGCCTTCTCGAAGGGGGCGGGGCCTCTCAGAAGCCCTCTGTGGCATCGGAGAAGGCTCAGAAGGCTTCTCCGAGGTATGCTTGCTCCCATCGTGCTCCAAGGACTTCGAGCGCCCAGCAAAGTACCGAAAAACAGTGTGGAGCGAGTGCCGCCGCCCAGGGCCCCACGCGTGAAAGCCCTCCCGGATCGGCACTTTCTGAATGGTCGAAGAATTCTTTCTGGTGGTCAGGGCCAAAGTCGGCTGGAACATCACAATCTCAGAGGGCCAGAGGCCCCCTGAGCCTTCTGGAAAGGACTGCCCCCTCTGCCTTGCCTGCCAGGCGCGCCGCCGAGGCAGGCTGCTCACCGGGGGATGCAGCGGCCCCCAGTCGCCCAATCGCCGTCCATCGCCGACTCCAGGTCGATGCTCCTCCCCCCTGGGGCTCCCTGAGAGACTCGTTCTTTGGCAGACGAAACGCGGCATAGGATAAGCTCTTCCGCCGCCTGGGACGTCTGCCCCAGGGAGGCCGGACAGTTTATACCCTACACGTCGGGGTGTAAACTTTCCAGCCGCCGTGGGGCAGGCGTCCCCGACGGCGGGAAAGTTCACCTCATTAGAAGAAGAATAATTCGAAAAAATGCAATAAGCATAAACTGTTCGATGTGCCAGATACCCCAGCTCACTCCAAACCCGACTTGAACCAGAGCATACCGCTCAACAACGGACCATAGAAGGTGAAACAATATTGGTAAGAGACTGTGGCAACAACCCCTTGCCACAGTTCACAAAGCTAGATTGTACCCCTCGCTCACCCAACTGCTGTCAGGATCTCAGTCTCGGCGGGGAGAACATAAGCATTCACATACACTGTTGGCGCTCCGCGCGGATGTCTTGGACCTGCGCCAGGCCCCCCCTCCCTGGCGCGCGGAGCGCGCCAGGGGCGGCCACGGAGCCGGTCCAAGAGATGCGCTCGGAGCGCTCAATATTTATGTGTATAAAGTTTTGTTAAATCCTTCGACTCATAACACTCTGACAAGGAGGAGGAGCAGAAGGAGGAGGAGGAGCAGGAGGAGGAGGAGGGGGAGTGGAAGGGAGAGGAGGGGAGGGTGGAGGTGGGCCAGTTGAGACAACGGCGTCGCTCCTGCTCGAGGGCAGAAATTCCACTCCGATAGTAACCACCCCGACACGCGAGGCCGTTTCGCAAACGCGCCCAAAGAGGGAATCGCACAGGGCAGGGCTGTTTAGTAGATGCCCAGGGCCGTTTAGTCAACCCCGATTGTCCGGTCTGGGTGGTTGTTCCTCCCTTGACTGAGATCCGGCGGTTCTGAAGGACGTCTCGGGCGCCACGGCCTTCTCACAGCGTCTCGAAACGCGACGAGGGCCTCCTCGAAGGCCCGAAAATGGGCAAACGAGGCAAAGGTAGCCGCATGGGTACCCGTTCCTCCTCCGAGATGAGGGAGAGAGGAGGGTCCCTAAGGAGGTGGAGGAGGAGGAGAAGGAGGAGATGGAGGAGATGGAGGAGGAGGAGGAAGAGGAGGAGGACGAGGAGGAGGAGGAGGAACGACGCGTTCTTCGTCGTTCTGCTTCGTGGGCACAAGGCGCTCCCGTCGACATGTAGCTGCCCTCGCGCGGTGGCCCCTCGGCCCTGTCGAGGGCGCTCCCCCCCGTGGAGCACCGCGTGACGCCGAACTGGACCATCTCGGACCACTTGGTCAGCTCGCGCGGGGAGACCTGCCGGGTCGGCGCGTGTGCGTCGTTGGACAAGACACCCGAGAGGATACAAGACTCTTCCGACGGCAGCGTGGCCCCAGAACACCACAGGACATGCGGGATCCAAAGTCGGGATAGACAGGACACAAGGGTCGGGGGCGCGCAAACATGGATTGAGCGATCCATGGATTTGGCGCGCGGTCGCCAAATCCATGGATCGGGGCAGATGCCCTCCCCAAAATGCGGCTGGCGCCGCCTCGCTCGGCGGCGGAAATCCGCGATTTCCAATCGAACCGGGGCCCGTCGCTAATCCTCGCCGCGCCCTTGATCCATGACTGCGGTCGCCTGAGGGAGGGGGATCGGAGAGGTAGGTGGCCACATGTGAAGCGTGCCCCCACCCTAGAGGATTTCTAAGGGGGGGCGGCACTCCGCTCGGGAGCGCCCGGACGAAGTGGACCCCCCCCTCCCGCCCCTTAGAAATCGTAGGGTGTGGGGGTAGGGTTCACACGCAACCAATGAAGAGTGGGGCGAGGATGCGATGCTTGCCCGCGACAGGCCAGCCCGAGCTGGATCGAATCGCAAAAGCGGATCGGATCGAAAACTCATCGGATCGCCAACGGATCCTCCCGACTCGAACAACATCGTATCGCCGCGCAGGGCTCCGGCTGGCCCCAGTCGAATCGAATCATTCCAGCGGCCCCGACAAGCCGTCCATCACTGGTACAAGCAAAGCTGCATCCCGGGTCGTGCAGCCTGGACGAACCGCGGCTTTCCAACAGAAGGCCTGCAACTGAGGCGCAGAGCTGCTGGGGCCATGCTCCGCGCACGCCCGCGAGATCGCGCGACGCTCAGGGTGACGCCCGCGAGACGCTCGAGTTCAAGCACACACGGCCGCCGCAAACTGCGGGGCAGGGGGCGAGGATGCAAGGGGGAGGGAGGGGCAACGGCCTGGGCCGGTGCACGGAGAGAGAGAGCCATGTCCGGCAGGGGGGGAGCCAGGGAGCCGACGGGCCCCCCCTGGCCACGCGGTGGCTCACCGCCCCAGGGGGTCTCCGCCCGCGGGAATCCGCTGGGCCTCGGCGTTCGCGTGGCAGGACGTGGGCCTCCCCCCCCCCTTGCTGCTTCCCCACGCTGCGGGGCGGGCTCCGTCCGGCGATGCCATGTTGACGGCGACGAACCCGGGACTTCATGTCGGCAGACAGGAAAGAACCGTACGCACCCACTGCCCATCAGCGAAGACGGATCGGAGCCGGATCCCAGGGACGGTGGCGCTCGCCACAGAGGGAACCAGGAACCCTTGCCGAGGAAGGGCGGGGGTCGGGACGACCGAAATTGGTACGGAAAGGATGGGCACGGACAGCATTTCCTGACGTTGCCGATTTGAAACAGAAAGCTGCCTACCCAACAGCGGCCGCTGTTGGTGTTGGACAGCATGTGCTGTTGGGCATTGCACCAGTGTTTTCCGTACCCGTGTCGGGCGTCCACAGTGAAGGAGGAGCGATGAGCATGTGATATCTGCACATTTGATGTTGGGCATTGTGCCAGTGTGTTCCGTACCCATGTCGGGCGTCCGAAGGGGAGGAGGAACGATGAGCATATGCTGTCTACAAATCTGTTGTTGGGCATTGTGCAAACCAGTTTCTCCGTGCCCGCGTCGGGCATCCAGAGGGGGAGGAACAGCGATGAGCATCTGCCACGGCCATCGTGCCAGCAGAAGGAACGCAGAACAAGAAACGAAGGGGCCTCCTCATCCTCATCCGCATCCCCCGCTTTATCCTTCCGTTCTCCTCCTCCTCCTCCTCCTCCTCCTCCTCCTCCTCCTCCCCCTCCTCCTCCCCCTCCTCCTCTTCCTCCTCCTCCCCCTCCTCCTCCCTTTTCTGGCCCCACGACACAACTCCGAGGAGCGGCCCCAACACCCGATGCCCCTCCCGAGCCCGGAGCGGTCCTTCCTTCGGCGTCCTGGCTGCATCCTGCTCCTCCTGCCGCACCTGCCTCCTGCTCCACCGAGGACCTCCCAGATGGGGTCGGGGGAGGTGGGTTGGCTGCGCGCACAGGGGGGGTGGAGGGAGGGGGGAGGGCGTCTTAGAAGGAGGCTGCTTCTTAGAGGGCGCCGACCTTACATCTAGAGGTAAGGCCCGCGCCTTCTAAGAAGCAGTGGTGCTGCTAAGAAGCCCTCCCCCCTCCCCCCACCCCCCTCTGCGCGTGGCTGGATGGGGTCGGAGGAAGCGCCGCACCGCGGATACATCGACGATGCATCGGAGATGCATCGGCGATGCATCGGCGATGCACCAGCGATGCACCGACGACGTCGGCGGTGCATCGGCGACGTCGGCGTGGAAAAAATTGGGCCCCACGTCGAGACGCATCGCCCGTGCGTCGCCGATGCATCGGCGATGCGGCGCGCTCCCCCGACCCCATCTACTCAGATCCACGGACGGCTGCGACGACCGCGGCGGCAGCGGCGACGGCGGCCCCTCATCCGCAGGGGCAGCGGGCCGCAGCCCTCCCCGCCGCCTCGTGGTCGTGGCCGGCGTTCCAGCGCCGCTCCCCGGCGCCCTGGCAGAAGGGGAGGGGGGCGGGGGCGCGGAGGGGAGGGGGGCGGGGGAGGGGAGGGGAGGTGAGAGGAGGGGAGGCGAAGGGAGGGGAGAGAAGGGGAGGAGGGAGGAGGAGGAGGAGGAAGAGGACAAGCTAGGTGCGCTCGAGTCATATCTGACGTCCTACCCCTCCCTCCCATCCCTTTACCATGACGTAGATCTCCTCTCTCTATTCGCACAATCGGATGTCAGGACATGGCATAGCATTACATGGCATAGCATGGTGTAGAAGATCAACGCGTAGCATGACATAGCATGACGGGGCTTCTGCGGCAAAGAACAACGAATCGATACCGAATGTGTAATCATTTTCGATGGTTTCTTCGGGAGGCCATTTTCTATATGTTGGGGCCTATTTGGAAGGACCGAAAAGCATGCCGTGGCATGGCACTGGAAATAATGACGCCATCGCTGCAATGGGAGCACGATTCGGGACGAGCGGAAGCGCGGAAATGAGGCCAGCGCTGCAGCGGAAGCACGATTCAGAACGAGCGGTAGCCCGAAAATGAGGCCAGCGTCTCGGCGATAACAGCATTTTCTGTTATAAAAAACTGGCGTGGAAACGCGGAAATGAGGAAGCGTAGCCTGACATAGCAAGGCGTGGCGACGCTTCAAGGTGGGGCTTCTGCGGCCCAAAAAACCAACGAATCGGCACCGAATGCGTAATCTTAAGTCGGGCCTGTCCCCCTACAGGGAGATGATCGACGAAAAACAGATTTTAAAAAATACCACCAAACTAATAATAACAAAAAAACATTACAAAAATAGTCGGGGTACTATTTTCTGAATAGTTGTTGACCTTTTGGGGGTATGTGTGGGGTATGCTCTATTTGTCCTCGAAAATCCCCCTGTATGGGGACACGCACGACATAAGTGTAATCACGTCCCATGGTGTCTTCGGGGTGGTATTTTCTATTTTTCTAGCAGATTTGGAAGGGCCGAAAAACATACCGTGGCATGGCACTGGAAATAATGACGCCACCGCTGCAATGGGAGCACGATTCGGGACGAGCGGAAGCGCGGAAATGAGGCCAGCGCTGCAGCGGAAGCGCGATTCGGAATGAGCGGTAGCCCGGAAATGAAGCCAGCGCCTCGGCGAGAACAACAGTTTGAAACAAAAAACGAAAACCCCACATCCCGGGAATCCAGTGTAAAACATCAGTACGCGGAGGGGGGGGGCCGAATATTCCCCAGACGCCACCAAGGGAGCGAGGAGAGTAGTATTCATAGTGCTTAAATGAGGCGGAGGAGGAGGAGGAGGAGGAGGAGGAGGAGGAGGAGGAGGTGGATGGAGGAGGAGGAGGTGGAGGGAGGAGGAGGAGGAGGAGGAGGAGGAGGAGGATGAGGAGGAGGAGGAGAGGAGGGAGGAGGGGGGGGGGATGAGAAGGAGTAGTAGGAGTAGGGAGTAGGAACCAGTTGCGGAATGCAAGTTAAGAAGGAGGAGGAGAGGAGAGCAGGGAGGAGGAGGAGGAAGGAGGAGGAGGAGGGAGGAGGAGGAGGAGAGGGAGGAGGAGGAGGGGAGGAGGAGGAGGAGGAGAAGGGGGCGAAGAGGAGGAGGAGGAGGAGGAGGAGGAGGAGGGGAGGAGGAGAAGGAGGAAGAGGGAGGAGGAGGAGGAAGGAGGAATGGGGTAGGGGATGGAGGGGGGGGGACGGGGGGGGCCGCGGGCAGCACAGCGGGCAGAGGGCGGGCCCTGTTCGCCAGCGCGCGTCACAGCAGGCACGTAACTCCCAGAAGGCCCCCCCTCGTGCAGTGCGCAAGCGCTACTGACGAGAGAGGGGGGGGGGAGCGGGAAGGAAGGGGAGAAGGGAGGAGCGGAAGCGGAGCGGGCAGGACGGAAAGGGTGTGGGGGGGGGGCGGGCAGGGCAGGAAGAAAAAACGGGATTCAGCGGGAAGAGACTGGGTGCGGCGGGTTCGTGCGGAGTCGGCGCGCGCACAGGTCTTTGACACCGCGTCGATCGTTCAACCTTGAATGAATCACGGCCCCTATCGTTGGAGGTTTAATTCCGTCGGGTCGAACGGCGTCACCGTGCCCCTCGGTGCTTCCGCGTCGCATAATTTGACCTCGAACGCCTTCGCCCGCGTCGCCGACGCGCCAAGGCCGCGTGAGCCTACCGCAGGAAGGAGAGGGAAGAACACCAGCCGGGGGGCATCCCCCCCGTAGGATTAGGTCGGGCATGTCGTCCTACAGGCGCATATTGGACGGAAAATAAAACAGAATCAAGAAATGCTCAAAAATACTCCTCATCCCTCAACATGCCCCGAAGAGGCCCCCAGAAGCCCGAAGTGGGCTCCAAGAACCCACAACGAGACCTCACATACTTCCCCCGCCGAAGCCTTCAAGAATCCTCCAAGTAGCCCTGCGACATACACCAGACTTCCCGAATGCCACGTCGTCGTCCTCCTCCTCCTCCTCCTTCTCCTAAACCTCCTCCTCCTCCTCCTCCTCCTCCTCCTCCTGCTCCGTCTCGTCGTCGCCATCCTGCTCCTCATCCTCCTCATTCTCCTCCTCCTCCTCCTCCTCCTCCTTCTCGTCGTCTCCGTCGTCGTCACAATCGTCTCCTCGCCGTCTCCGTCGTCCCCGTCCCCGTTCCTCGGCCTGTGGTTTCACCCGCGCGATCTAATTACAGCGAAATTGAACAACGTCGTTAGCGCAGTCGATTGGAAGCCCCTTCCCTGCGCTTCTTCCTCCACTAGGAGAGGAGTCCCAGGGACGGTTCCCGAGGTGGTTCTCAGGGGAAACGACGCCCAGATACGTTTCCCCCTCAACGCCCCGAAACCATGCAAAGATAGTCCCAAAAGAGCCAACCTCCTCCTCCTCCTCCTCCTCCTCCTCCTCCTCCTCCTCCTCCTCCTGCCTCCCCCCACTGCTCCCCCTCCTCCTGCTATCCTCTGCCTCCTCCTCCCTCCCCACCTGCTCCCCCTCATCCTTCCCCCCCCTCCTCCTCTCTCATCCACCTCCTGCGCCCCTTCCTCCTCCTCCTCCTCCTTCCACTCCTCCTGCCTCCCCCTGCCCCCCCCTTTCCTTTTATCTTCGTCGTCTTCAGGGTCGGCGGCACCGGCCGTAAGGCCTTCGCAATAAACCAGAATTCAGAAATGCTCAAAACAGAATATCAAAAAAGACCTACCAACAAAAACATAAAAAAACGTCCCCAAACTATCTTTGGACTATTCTGGAAAATCATGCCCGACTCAACCGTAGAAAGGAGAGAGCCCACTCGCTCCTCGCTCCCGGCACCTCTCTCCTAGCTCGGCCGTCCGCGCGTCTCGCTCCTCCCTCGCCCCCATCGCCCCCTCCCCCGCAGAAGCGCACGGGGCGGGGGGGGGGGCTGGCCGCGAGCAGTGCTCCAGTGGTTGGCGGGGGTGCCCTGCAAGGGGGGGCGTCCAAGAGTGGGCTCCCAGGCCGTGGCTCGGGGGGGCACCTGCGCGGACGAGCGGGGGGCCCGGGGCGCGCGGGAAGAATCGGACGACAAGGGGCCACGAACTCCGCCTGCCATCGCTCGGACGTCCACTCCCCGTGCATCTGGCTTCGGCTTCGCGCGTGCACTCTTTTTCGCCAGGTCCCCAAGAGGATGTTTCCGCGATGGTCCTCGCCGCGGAGAAACAGGCACACGTCCGAGCAACGGAGGTTTTGGGGGAGGAGGTTTTCCAGGAGGGGTCCCCCAGGGGCTTCGCACCCCTTGTTTTGACGAGGTTCCGAAGCCCCTGATGGGCTCTCTAGAAAACGCCCTCCCCAATAACCCCCTTTGGATCCCTCCGGTCCCCTTGTCATCACCCCCACGATTTGGGGGACCGAAAGGTACCCCCCACACCCCTACTCCCTGGACCTCTCCCGGGGCGCGCTCTGACCAGGACCTCAAGGCGAATCCGGCGTTGGCGACGAGGGCCTCCCCTCGGAGCCTGGCAAGGGGAAAGCGAGGCCAGGGCAGCCGTATATGGCCGATGCCGGAAACCCTGAGCCAAAAAATGCTATCATCTCTTGGAGGCGTTTTTCACTTCCGCCGCCTTCCGCCAGCCTCCCGCCGGCTTCCGCCGGCGGAGGCGGCCTCGTCTTACTTCCGCCGACCTTCCGCCGCCCTTCCGCCGCCTGCCGCCGCGGAGGAGATGATAACTCCCTCATCCTCGCAGGCGAGGCCCTCTTTGGAACGCCCCATATGGGTACCTTCGACTCCTCTGACCAGAGGCCTCCCAGATGGGGTCCGAGCAGATGGGGTCGGAGGAACGCGCCGCATCGCCAATGTATCGCCAATGTATCGGCGATGCATCGGCGAGGCACTGGCGACGTCGGCGACGTCGTCGAAACATCGTCCCCAGACATTTGTTTGAACTATGTTTGGATATTCCTCCTGTATCGGGGAGACGTAAGACCCGGGTACGGGGGACTCGGAAATCTCCGACGACGTCGTCAAAAAAATGACGAGGCCGAGCCTGCATTTTGACGAGGCCTCCCGCTGCAGACATCCCACGGAACTCCTCCTCGTCAAAATCCGAGTCGCGGTCGTCAAAAAACGACGGCGAACCCGAGTCCCGGCAAACCCGGGTCTTACGCTCCCCCGACTGTAGAGGGACATCCCAAGGACTGGGCCTTCCGCCGGCGCAGGGGGAGACCCAGGCAGCAATCGGCGAATGCCGTATACAATCTCGATCATTTGAATATCTGAAGCCTTTTGTGCGCTCCCCTTTTTACTCCCCTGTATCCCCCCTCCTAGTGGCGCCGGCTCCGGCAACTTTTTAGCTGCGTTTTAGTTGCGTTTTCTGCCCACGCGTCCTTCATGGATGGACGGCTTCCTTGTCTTGTCTTGTCTTGAGAAGGACATTATCGACTTCGCCTCGACTGACGTGGACTTTGGAAGGAGAATGACAAATTGTCAAAACATACCCAGCACTAGTCATGAATAGTCGAAACATCGTCCCCAAACAAGTTTGTTGACTACGCTTGAAGCTTCCTTCTGTAGAGGGGCATG